CTGCGAAGCACAAGGTTTCGGTCGCGCACGCTGCAACAAAGAAGCATGTTTCGGCCGATTGCAACTTTCTCCTCTGGCAGGCAGACGACTCGACGACTCTACAAGTCCAACGAAAGTATGACCAGTCACGCACTGCTGAAGGGTCCCTTGCCATGTTCGTATGCGCTCACTCTGCGGTTTTGGCTTCGGATCACCTGGCGTGGCGTGACAGATTTCTAGCCAAAACAAAGGCAAAGCTTCCTTTCAGATGACATTGATATGATCTATACTGTTATTATACCTTTGGGCAAAAATTAAAGCAAAACAAAAATGTTTATAGAAGTCATTTTGCACTGTGTTTTGGATTTAGCGGGTTTTAGCGGTTTTCGGGATTTCGACTGCGGGTTTTCAATTTTTGAGTTGGCAACACTGACCACAACCTTTACCTTCCCCTGACCACGAAGAAGGTCCTCCATCATTTCCGGCGACCTACAAGGGGTCCGTGAAACATGAACGGTTGAGAACCACTGCCCTAGGGCATGATTATGATGAACACTGACGGTATATAATTAGCGTCAGATCACTAGGCCGCTTGTTCAAATTGCAAGTTGAGGAGGGGATCAACAGCTGTCTCTTTCCTTTATTTTTTTCTACATCTGTTATTGCGCGGACGGGAAACTAATGGATGTTTTTGCAAGCTATCAACGTCAGGAGTTACTTTTTAACAGCATTTATTGAGAGTAAAAAAAATGTCGCAAGACCAATTTTACATTATTGAGGCACTGTTGTGACTCGGGGCTTGTCCATGTAGTCGATCTCCGCTGGAGCCATGCGTCGCCCAGGACATCGGGCAGAGTTGGTAGCGAGCCAGGGTGTCTCTTCTCAAACTGTTTATTTACATTCTATGTACAGTCTGCCGTACGGCATGAGAAAAACGTGAGAACACACCGAGAGCGCGTAAAACCGCTCTTTTTATAAGGTCCCCCTCCCTACGTCTCTAGGCCAGGACGCCGTTCCCCAACTGGTCAGGCCCCGCCCACTAGCACGCACAAGCACACAGTGTAGTAGCGGCCGGACATCACATCCCGGCGCCGAGTCACTCCCGCCCTCGAATGCCGCGCCGAAGAGGCGACAACAAAGGGTCCACTGTCAGCCTGGGAGACGACGCTGGCCGAGGTGGTGCCGATCTCTCCATTAGGCGGCTTTGTGGCACGAAAAGGGTTGGGCCGGAACAACCGCAAGTGGCGTCCGAAGATGATCCGTGCTGAACACACCCTCACGGAGGTCCCGCAGCTGGCGCACCGTCATCCGGAATCTTCGCACAGTAATCCCCCCCCCCCCCCCCCGGTTCCTGCGTCGGGTGACCCCGTTTCGGGCCAGCGTAATCCCCGCCAGAAGTAAGGGTCCGGCTCAGCTTCGCGCCTAGGTGTGGCGACATCAACACGGGGGTCCTCCGTCGAAAGCCATCCCATTGTCGCCTCTTGCTTCGTTTCCGGGCTCAACTGACCGGAACCATGCATATGGCGACGATACTCAAGGGGGTTCCCCAGTGCCGGGTGGTTTAGATCGAGAGGGTGTGGTCCGGGGGCCGTTCATAACAGCTCCTCCGCCGCCAGGTAGTGGACTCGAAGGGGTTGCAGTCACCGCTGCTCTCCGAAGAGTCCGGGAAGTTCCGCTTCCTCCGTAGACTTGGTTGGCCAACGAAGAACTGCCCCGGGTGGAGCAGACTTGGGTGAAGACCTGTCGAAGGCATAACAGAACCCGCAAAAAAACGAAGCCGTAACCCCAGCCAGTGCCCAACACTCCACCAGTGAAATTTACCAGGTAGCGAAAACAAACAATTAAGACCACTAATGTGAATACAATCAACCCCGTAACTGATACGTCAAAATATCTAGAAAATATACACCACGCAACCAAATGTAAAGGTCAGAAGGATATACCGCCTCGGAAAACCGGCGATTAACTCATTCAATTTTGATCCCAAAGAAAGTCATATGACGATGCCTTTTGTCAAAATCAGGCTGACATCAAACCATATTACACACGCAAAAAAAAAAAAATAGAAGAAAAAGGCAACATTATCAAGAATTTCAACCTACGCGACAAAGCCTCTGCTAAGCCCATCCGCATTCCCGTTTAGCTTGCCTTTTCGGTACTTTACTTCAAAATTATACCGCTGTAGAGCTAAGCTCCATCTCAGAAGACGCCCATTCTTTGCGGACATGCTTTGGAGCCACGTGAGTGGGCAGTGGTCTGTCTCGAAAGTGAAGCGCGTACCTGCCAGATAGCAATCCAACTTTCCGGCCGCCCATACCAGGCATGCACACTCCTTTTCCGAGGCGCTGTAGGCCTCTTCTCTGGTAGAAAGTTTCCGGCTAACGTATAAGACAGGGTGCTCCTTCCCATCGTCCTCCCTCTGGCTTAACACGGCCCCCATGCCCCAGTCGCTCGCGTCACACTGCACTATGAAAGGACGGCTGTAATCCGGCGACCGAAGAATCGGCTGGCTCAACAGTTGTCTCTGAAGTGAACGAAAGGCGTCTTCCTTCGCATCACTCCACACCACCCGCAAAGGTTCAGATTTTCGAAGAGCGTCTGTCAGCGGACTAGCGATCTGGGAGTAGCCTCGGATGCAGTGTTGGTAGTATCCCGTTAAACCCAAGAATGATCTTATGTCCGTCTTGGTTAGTGGCCTCGGGTACTCTTCTACAGCTGCGGTTTTGAGCTCAGACGGCCGTCGGTATCCTCTTCCTACGATGTGGCCCAGGTAGCTAACTTCGGCTCGGCCTAGCTGACATTTTTCCGCTTTTATGGTCAATCCCGCGTCGCGCAGGCGATTCAAAACCTCCTTCAGATTTGCCACGTGCTCCTCCCAACTCTCAGAAAACACAGCAATGTCATCGAGGTAAGGAAGAGCAAAAGTTTCCAGCCCTTGCAATACCCGGTTCATGAGATGGGAGAAGCAAAATGGCGCGTTTTTTAAGCCAAAGCTTAACACTACTGGCCGAAAAGTTCCCATCGGAGTGATGAAAGACGCGTACTGGCTTGCCCGCTCCGTTAGGGGGACTTGCCAGTAACCTCTAGTTAAGTCTAAAGTTGACAGAAACCTTGCGCTGCTTACCTGTTCGACTCTTTCCTTAATATTAGGGATTGGGTAAGTCTGGTCCCGCGTTATGGCGTTTAGTTTTCGATAGTCCACACAGGGTCTAGGACTTTTCCCAGGAGTCTCTACCAGGATTACCGGGGAGGTGTAGTCGCTCTCCGCTGGTACGATGACCCCTAGCTCCAGCATTCGCTTTATTTCCTGATCTAGGATTTCTCTCTGCCTAGGAGAGACGCGATAAGGTCTGGAACGGATCGGAGTATCGGTCGTTAATTCGATGTCATGCTCCACTAGGCTGGTTCTCCCTGGTTTATCCGCAAAACAGTCACGAAACTCATTAACCAGCGCGTGGAGTTCGGCTACCTGTGTTGGATCTAACTCCGTCTCGCGTTCTACTCTCTCCAGCATTCGCTGGAGAGACTCACCTCCTGGCTCGTTACCGACCGCGGGAAAGTCTGTCTCGACTTCTTCACGCATGTTTAGAGCCAGGTTGACTACTGCCTCCCGTTGTCGGTAAGGTTTCATTAAATTGCTGTGAAATATTCTGGCTTCCCTACGCCGGCCAGGCATCTTCACCGCATAGTTAGTGTCAGACAACTTTCCAACCACCTCAGCTGGCCCCTCCCACTGAACTTCTAGTTTATTCTTCTTAGTGGGCCTGAGCAGCATGACCGCGTCCCCTACGGCGAACGTGCGACGTCTGGCTGTTCTGTCGTAATAGAGTTTGGCTTTCGTCTGCGCGGCTTTCATGTTAGCCTCTACTAACTCTCTAGTACTGTGCATTCGATCAATGAGCTCTAAAACATAGGCCACAACCGTCACCTGCTCGCCCTCGCCTTCCCATGCCTCACGATACATTCCGAGGGGAGACCTCAGGGATCGCCCGTACACCAGTTCAGCGGGACTAAACCCAGTAGTTTCATGCGGGACCGTCCGCAGAGCAAACATCGTAGCAGGCAGACAGGCTTCCCAGTCTTTCTTATGCTCGTAACAGAGCGCGCGTAGAACGCGTTTGAGAACTGAGTGCCATTTTTCAACGCTGTTGCTCTGAGGGTGGTAAACCGAGCTGTGCACTACGCGAATGCCACATTTTTCTAGAAAGGTCGTGGTCAGGGCGCTAGTAAAAGCGCTCCCTTGGTCACTTTGCACCTCTGCCGGAAATCCTATTCGAGCAAACACTGACAGAAGCGCGTCAACCACCCCGGCGGAACTAAGCTCTTTTAAGGGAATTGCTTCCGGAAACTTAGTCGCGGGGCAAAGCATGGTCAAGATGTACCGGTATCCCGAATCGGTCACCGGAAGAGGTCCCACGACGTCAATCACCAGACGTCGGAACGGTTCGGTGATTAGTGGTACTAGCTTCAGTGGCGCCTTTTTCTTGTCAGTTGGCTTTCCAACGCGTTGACAGGCATCGCACGAGCGCACAAACTCTTCCACCTCCTTGAAACAACCCGGCCAGTAAAATTCCTGTAGCAATCGTGCCTTGGTTTTCTTTACGCCTAAGTGACACGACCAAGAGCTACCATGCGAAAGACAGAGAAGGGTCCCTGCGATACTTTGTCGGAACTACTAGCTGGTCATAACTGACCCCTTTGCGATCCCTGTACTGTCGGTAAACCACGCCAGAACGAGTGTGGAACGAAACGTTCCGCTTAGCCACTCCCTCCCTTTGAGTGTGGTTCGTCATGTTACCCAGGGTGGGGTCACTCGCCTGTTCGGCCGCTAAAGTGTCTCTGTCCACCTCCACCAGGCTCCGAAAACTCGATGAGTGAGGCGAGAGAAAATGTCCCTCTTCCTGCGGAGTTGATCTATCTACTTGTTCCTGATCCTCAGCCGGATCACTCCCACTGTCACTGCTCTCTCTGGGCGCAACTTCAATCACTTCAGGGATCTCGGTGGAGTCAGAAGTAGTTGATTAATTGCGCTTTTCGTCCCGACTGCCCTCACTACCGTGTTCGGTCGACTGCTTAGCTGCGAGCTCGCGCACCTTGGAACGTGTCAAAGCCTGGACAACTCCTTCCCCAAATCTTAGGCCCCTTTCTCTCAGAAGCTGATCGGATTTGTTTGAAAAGAGGTAAGGGTACCTCTCGGGCAGGGACTTTGATACCGCGGCTTCTACTTCTATTTCCCCGAAAGGCCCCTCCACTTTGACCTTGGCAATCGGCAGACATACGCTGTTCTCCTCAACGACCTGTCTAATCCAGGTGCACTCGCCTGTAAAGTCAGATGGACTTACGTAGGACGGATGAATCACGTCCATTGTAGCGGCTGAGTCACGGAGAACTTTGCAAGGTCTACCGTTCACCACCAAATCGTGCATGTAAGGTTCCAACAGACGCATGTTCTCATCGTCTTCACTCACGAAAGAAAAGACCACTCGTGGTTTGCGGCACCCGGCAGCGAAGTGCCCCGGCTCGTGACACCTAAAGCACACTGAAGGTTTTCGGGACTCGAACGCCTTCCCGTGCCCTTTCTCCTCAGGTTTCTTTCCTCCGTTTTCGCCCTCCTTCGCCGCCCCATCTGCGCTACCGTTGTGGCCACCCTTCTCTTTCCCTTGCCGTAACCTGTCCTTAAACCCCGCTCCGGTCCCTTTCGAGGGGTCTCTGTGCTGGTGACCGCGCCATTCGGGAAGCACGCCACGACGAGAGCTGAACTCTTCAGCGAGTTCCGCCGCTCGCTGTACCGTCTTCACGTCAGGCCGGTCCTGCACCCAGTAGCGGGTTTCTTCGGGCAAGGTACTAAAAAACTGTTCCAGACAGACGCACTCTACCACCTTGTCATGGTTCCCAAAAACCTCGGAACCCTTTAGCCATTCCTCTAAGTTCGACTTCAGGCTGTACGCGAACTCAGGATAAGACTCGCTGGTATTTTTCCTTACTTCGCGGAATCGCTTGCGAAAAGCGTCGGCGGACAACCTGTACTTTCTGAGGAGGCCCGATTTTACTTTTGTGTAGTCCTCCGAGTCTTCCCTACTCAGCCTGGCTACCACGTCCGCCGCCTCACAAGGCAACAACGTCAAGAGGCGCTGAGGCCACGACTCCCGAGAGAAACTTGCCTTCTCGCAAGCCCTCTCAAAATTGACGAGGAATAGGCCTATATCCTCGCCAACCTTGTAGGGCTGCAAAAGATTCTTCATTTTACAACCCTGCTGCCCCACTGAACTTGGTTTCCCAGTTGCCCGCGCAGCTCGAGGTCGATCCTGGCCTTCTCGATTGCTCTCTCCTCGGACTCTTTCTGCGCCTTTTCTCTTTCCACGCGTTTCCTTTCTTCCTCTTGCTCTCTTTTCTCGCGTTCCTGAATAAACTCCCAACACTCCTGCAGTTCGTCTCCGTCAGCACCCGACTGATGAATAGCATCCATAATTAGAGGCTTTCTTTTCAGGCCCGCAATGTCGATCCCCAACTCTAGGCAAATTGCCTCTAGATCTGGTTTGCGTAGTGCCTTGGGATCCATGATACCTGACGTGTAAGTCACTTTTCCTATCACACACCTGGAAGTAGCCCTTTTCTTTCTTCCAGGTAGACGTTCAGAACCAGATTGAATATTACTCTTTGATATCTAAATCCTGGTAAATCTCAAAGGAAAAGTGTCGAACACTCACCGGTGCCGCAGCCCGAACTCCGCAGGTTCCGTGCCGTCGCTCCCATCAGGTCTCTTCCGCGGCTTGGAGTCGAATCGTATCAGGTCTCCTCAGTGGCTTGGAGTCGAATCGTACCGCTGCCATCCAGTTGTTGTGACTCGGGGCTTGTCCATGTAGTCGATCTCCGCTGGAGCCATGCGTCGCCCAGGACATCGGGCAGAGTTGGTAGCGAGCCAGGGTGTCTCTTCTCAAACTGTTTATTTACATTCTATGTACAGTCTGCCGTACGGCATGAGAACAACGTGAGAACACACCGAGAGCGCGTAAAACCGCTCTTTTTATAAGGTCCCCCTTCCCTACGTCTCTAGGCCAGGACGCCGTTCCCCAACTGGTCAGGCCCCGCCCACTAGCACGCACAAGCACACAGTGTAGTAGCGGCCGGACATCACATCCCGGCGCCGAGTCACTCCCGCCCTCGAATGCCGCGCCGAGGAGGCGACAACAAAGGGTCCACTGTCAGCCTGGGAGACGACGCTGGCCGAGGTGGTGCCGATCTCTCCATTAGGCGGCTTTGTGGCACGAAAAGGGTTGGGCCGGAACAACCGCAAGTGGCGTCCGAAGATGATCCGTGCTGAACACACCCTCACGGAGGTCCCGCAGCTGGCGCACCGTCATCCGGAATCTTCGCACAGTAATCCCCCCCCCCCCCCGGTTCCTGCGTCGGGTGACCCCGTTTTGGGCCAGCGTAATCCCCGCCAGAAGTAAGGGTCCGGCTCAGCTTCGCGCCTAGGTGTGGCGACATCAACACGGGGGTCCTCCGTCGAAAGCCATCCCATTGTCGCCTCTTGCTTCGTTTCCGGGCTCAACTGACCGGAACCATGCATATGGCGACGATACTCAAGGGGGTTCCCCAGTGCCGGGTGGTTTAGATCGAGAGGGTGTGGTCCGGGGGCCGTTCATAACAGCACCCAAACATTTGTTTCGTTGTTGCCGAACTGCACCCGAAAGATGTCCCCGAGAATAGAAGTATTGAAATGACTAAATGCGACTTATTGATATGACGTTACAGAACTACATGCGTGTACTGAATGAATACCTATAAAAAGAAATAAATTATTTTAGTGACCTCACAGGGACAGCCGAATGTTGGCAATCACTGTAAGTCTCACACGAGCTTCGTTCTTAAGTTATTGTCCGAGTTTCGACCCCCTTTGTATCTTGCTGAAAGGAGCTATAAAAAGATTTCTATACATCACCAAATACTACTCAGGATCACTGCCTTACGTTAATTACTGATTAAACTCCGCTTTGTTCTTTTCTCTAGGCAATGGAACGCCAAACGATTAGAGAAATACGAGCATCGTTCATCCCCTCAACTTCAAGCCAGAAGCGGCCACGTGGCCTGGTGCCAATCTTATGACGCCAACGTTAATCATACCCCGCGCTGGGGTTGGAAAGGAAGGAAACGCGTGCTGGAGCTCCAGGCATTGTTGGAGTTCGGCTTTTCTCATCACCGCAGTGGTTGGACACGTGCCACTACCAAGTGTCCGCCGCGGCAATGATTGTTACGAGCCGATGTACAGTGCATGCTCACACAGTTCTCCTGTCCAATCTATGAGCCGCGCTCGACTGTTGTCAGGCGGCTTCAGGCGGGTGGTTTTGATCCCACAATTACGAGCTCAATCTTTGCGAAGGCAAGAGTAAAAGAAAGAGTCTAATCTTATCTTCACAATTTCACCACGACAAAGAAGCTTTTGAATCAGTGGCGCCCTGTACGGGACCAGAATAGGACCACTACGCATCTGAAAAATCATTAACATTTCAAACCGATATCGTTTTATTACCCCTTTAAGCTTCATGGGGTGCAGAATAAAAGCAATGGAGAGTTGCTGTTAATAAGTGACAAATAAAATTGTCAAATTAGCACACACAAACCGCGAAGGCAGTTCCTCAGGAATACTTTCCGCCTTTCCACTCTGGTGAAGAAGGAAAGCCAGCGAAGCTGTACTATGTTGGGATTGAGAGTTAGGCAGTATCGCGATACGAATGTATCGCGATAGTATTTTAGAAATGCATTTCGTATCTGCATTTATGTATCGCGATACATTTTTTTCACCAGTATCTGTATTCCTATATCGAAATATATTTGGAATGTTTCTTTGTCTCGCAATACAATCAGGATAAAATGTATTTCGTTACATTTCTTGAGAAATAACCCCCCCCCCCCCCCCCCCCCGAAAAAAAAAAATCAAGTCCGAACGCATCTTTTTTTTACTTCTGAGGGCATTGGGATCAGAGATGCTGGGGCATTGTCACTGCCTTGACCAAGGTTCCTTCTGATTCTCGAAGCTATTTTTCCATGCGTCCTCTTCTTTCTTTTGAGAAGTGTTGCGTAGTCGGGGACTCGAACCAGGTGGCCTGCTTGGAGCATACCTCAGCAAACCTCACTCATTTGGGCCCTCACTCACCCTCACTCACCCTCATCTTCACAGGTGAGGCGAGGGTGAGGGAGTCTCTTGCGTCGAAATTAAATAACTGAATATTATATTTTTGGTACCTAAAACTGATTTTTGGTACCTAAAATTTTTGGCACGTACGATCGAAGGAAACTATATAGTTAATTCGTTTCATGGCGTAAATAGTTATAATGCCAGAACAACGCGGAAAATATATTCTTAACTTAGCGGTTCAAACCGGTTCGAACCGGTTCGAACCGGTTTGAGCCGTTATTTTTTACTCCCCAAAACTGAACCGGAACCGAACCGAAAGCCCTGAACCCGAACCGGAACCGAACCGATAAAAATTTCGGTCCGACACTCTGGCCACAACATCACCTCACGATTAGATGGATCGTCCCTTCTAGGACGTGCTTGGTTATTATCGCGACACGCGTCTAGAAATCAGTCAAGGATAGCGCTCTACGCGGAACGACGAGCTTCCACCACGCCGAGCATCACCACCGACACCACGTTTTTGAGCATGCTATGAGTAGGCGCAGTCTGATTTTTCTCTTGCTTCGTTTACGACACATGGATGGCGCATAACTCCGAGAGTTATAAAATTTGGGAATTTCCGTCACCATCGCTAATTATTCAAAAAAAAAAAAAAGTGGATCAGAATATTCTCTAGTCACACTTCTAAAAAACATTCGCCGGTTATTCATATATTATGATCTCGGTGGTGGTGATTAAGCTCTGATCCAATAGGCGATGTGAATTTGGCTGACGTGCCGTGGCACCACAGATGCATCGCAGTGAAAAGGCAGAAAGCGTTCGATGGAAGGAAGGTATAAAAGAGTCCACTTTTCTTTTAGAAATTCTACAGCGAAAATTGATTTTTGGCTCCATTTTTCTGTTTTTTTTTTTTTTTTTTCACACCTTTTACGACGTGCGGTGGATAAAATTCGATTTCAGAATTTTATCCACCGCACGTTTCAAGGTCCGTATTAGCAAAAAACACACCTTCAAAGTAGTATGGTGCACGTGCGCGTCAGGTGTATTAAAGAAAACCCCAGGAAACTGTTATTGTTGTGGATGAAGAAAGAATAAACAATTAAAACAGGGACAACACAACCACATCTTTCATTGTTGATATTACATTGCAGTAAAACTATCAAAATTTAACTGTGGCTATTATACATAGGCATGTGTTAGGCAGCAACGTTCTGAAAACCTGCGTTCCTTATTTGCGCTTTCTTAATTCCGAATCGAAGAAAATATTTTCATATCGGGAGGAGATTTATAAATCCCCTCAATTAGGTATGACTGGGCTTCTTTATAGGTTCAATTTTGTGTAAACTATGTCGTTTACTTGCCATCCCAATGTAGGTATTAGGCTTTCTAAAGCTACAGTCTGTAAATATAGCCAGATTGAATTTAACAGAGCTCATGAGTGGGCAGTAAGGAACAACCTTCATGAATTCAGCTGCATTTTTGTTGAAGCATGGGGTAACCGTAGTAAAATGTGTGGAAAAAGGTGAAACAACTGTTCAATATTCAAATTAAAAAATATTTTGCCGAAAGCATAACTTACTTTGAGCTGGCTTCGATCCCAAAATTCCATATTTGCACATGCCTAACGAAGAGTTACGTGTTCTTGTGGTAACGGTGCTCACACCAATCGCAATGAATAGCTACACTCTAAAAAAAAAAGGTGTCAAGGGAGAGTAACTGCCCTAAGTTACCCTCCTTTAACCCTATCCTCATCCAAGTTACTCTTTCGCGACCGCTTCTTTCGATGATACTCTCCCTTAACCCTCACTCGAACTCTAGAGTAACTGTAGCTAGAGTTAGTTTCTCCTCGCGATATCACGGGCTGTCAACAGATGGCGCCGCTATGGGGTCGGCGCATTTTCGACGCTGCTCGGCGCAGATTTTTGTTGTTGTGTTTTTCTTTTTCCGGGGAAGAATTTTTTTTTCCCTAGCCGCTTCTTTTTTTTTTTTTGGGGGGGGGGGGGGGGGAAGATGGGCAAGGATATTTTAATAAGTGAGTTGATACAGCCTACCTTTACTTAATTTTGTCAACGCGCAATTCAAATGTTTTTTCTGCTAATTAAA